CCCAAAGGTAACATAAGAAAATGCTGTATTAACTGTAGTAGCTTCAGTCACACCTTATGTGCAAATATACTCCTTTTCCATATTTTCAAGCCAAGACCTGTGTGAAGAAAAGGGGATAGACTGGTAATAAATGTCATTTAGGGTACATTCACACCAGATGTGGTGGGACTGCATTGATTGGCTATTCCAGCACATTCCCACCGCGTGAAAGGCGAAATATCTTGTTTCCTTATGTGCCTGGTTCACACCACTGCGTTTTGGTGGTATGCGGGCGGCGTGTTCTGAAAATTACTGCATGCAGTGCTTTTCGTTGGAGTGTGAGGCAATCCACTGCCTCACCAATTAAACTTTTAAGATCTCTGTGTCATTTCTTTCACAATAATTTAATTGAAAGACATTTTACCAGAAAACAACAGAAATCAATAAACGGGCAATGAGTCAGACCATCCACATGCCCAGCATATAGGTCTAGAATAAACCGAAAACGGGATTGGGACAAAGTCCCAAAAAATGTGTTCCACTGAGTGTATATAACAAAGTAAATCCAGAATTAACTATACAATCAGTGACAATGCATTGCAAGAGCTAGAGCTAGGCGGTTATAAACTTATGCCAAGAAGAGATCCGAAAAAACACTCGGCCAACCTGGTGATAACATACGGAGCTAAAAATCAAGGTTAGAGCTTGGTGAAGTCTCCAAGAGGACCAGCTCATGTGACAAGTGAGAGTAGACTCAAACACAAGTGGTACTCTGGGGTCATAATAATAGAAATACAAAAAAATAAAGGAAAAAGAAAAAAAAAAAAGGAATGGTTCAGTTCAGCAGTAGTGGGTTATGCCAGAGAATGCACTAGTAAAAAAAAAAAAAAAAAGGAAATGGCTAGTAAGAAATGAGAGGGGGGAGGAAGAAGGGGGGGGGGGGGCAAGGTCCCTCCCATGGGCAGCTTTTGCAACAAGCCCAGAAGGCACCTCCGTTTCTACAAACCATGTAGATGGGCTCATTCGTGGGAACTGATCCAGCCAGGATTGCCAAATCTACAAAAATGTATCGTGTGTGTCTGTGAGAATTGCCGTTCGTTTCCAATTTAACAAGCTTTCCATGTACCCAACTTTTCACTTCATTGAGTAAGAATAGGGGTGCTTTTCAGGCTTGTGCAATGGTCTGCTTAGCGGCCATAAAAATGTGGGTCACCAGTGTGCGTTCCTTTTTTGTTACGCCTGTAATTGGTTTGTGAAGCATAGCTTCCTATCGGGCCTTGCGTATGGAGGTGAAGTAGCGTATTGTCCATGGCATAGACCAGAAACCATAGGCCTTTAACTTTGGGTCACGTCCACCATATATGCTTCATGTCGCCTGTTTCTGCACAAGATGATCTGGGAGGTATTTTGCAATTCTTCTCGGGGTTGTCCTAACACCGAGAAATGACCTTTTTTGAATGAGTTTCCAGTGCTAAAACTTTGCGAAGAGCGAAAAAGAGGCTCCTGCATCTTAGTCCAATCCGTTGGGTCTTGCGAGGCTCCAAAGTCCTGTTCCCAATATGAGCAGTCAGATGGAGCTTGAATTGTGGTGGAGTTTAGAAGAGAGTTACATAACTGTGAGATTAAGCCTTGAGTGGTTGGACTGACTCAACACAGAATCTGTGTCATTTTCAATAAAGTTACTTTAAAAATAAATACAGTAAATAAAGCACTGTATTGATCTAGCCGGGCCGCACTGAACACTAGCCACTGTGTTGTAATACAGCAACTGGTCTGAATGCACCCTTAGTCCTCATGCTGCACACGGGACATTTTTACAGCAGCTTATTTTGGCTTTTGATGGTTTTTTTTTTTTTTTTTTTTTTTTTTTTTTTTTTGTACAGCCAGTAAACCCAGCATGTTATCCTATGTGTCAATACACACACAGACTGGAATCAACGTTTTTTGGCTGGAAAAACTCCCCAGAACTAGTGGGTTTCTAGAGGAGTGTTTTAGCTGTAAAAATGCTCTAATACGGTAAAACGCAGCAAACTGGCATTTTTGGACTTTTTTTGACCCAAAAAATGGTTTTTTTTGGTTAAAAAAAAAAACCCCACAAACGCGGCAAAACGCTAAAATAAAAAGCTTATCTCACATTTTTAACGTGACTTTACACAGCTAACCAGCGTTACCAGCGTTCTCAAAACACCCTGTGTGCATGGAGCTTCAAAGTACAACTAAAGGCATTTGTAGGACATTCTGCACGAGGCACAAATACAGTCACTATGTGATGCAAAAACCTAATTATGGGGGGGGGGGGGGGGAGCAAATCCTCCTTTTTGTTTCTCACATGCCAGCCACAGTACTGTCAATCTAGAAAGCCATGAAGAGGACTAAGTGGGGGTTATTTACTAAAACTGCACGGTGCAAAATCTGGTGCAGCTCTGCTTAGAAAGTAATTGGCTTCCAGGTTTTATTGTCAAAGCTTAAACAAGCTGAAGTTGGAAGCTGATTGGCTGCTGTGCACCAATTTTAGTAAATCTCCCCTTGTGTGCCTAGGTGCTGGTTGACCAGCTACAGACTTGTGGGTCAGAATTCACACTGCTGATGGCCACAATCCCTGCAACATCATCCTATCCCACTGTACACCTGAGTGGCAACTCTGCTTTGAATTCAGCAGCAGTGCAGCATCGTTGCCACTCCTTCACATTAGATGGACTACAGTGGCAGGGTCAACAGCCATTTGTGAAAATTTTTTAGGAGAACTAAGCAAACTGTACTTGTAGATGTATCCATACCTTTTAATGCCTCTGCACATATCATTGTATTAATGGTAGGCCATAGTTGTAATTTTGAAAAAAAATTGTAACTTGTGGCAGAGACTATCCATAACATCCGTTAATGTTGATATATATGTCTCTGAATTATTCTCCCTGTCTGTATGTGATGAGGGATTCATTTTTAGCTTGACTTCTCTTGTCACTATGGAGACAGGACCTGAATGAATTTTACCTCGCTGAATGCTAATAACTTTTTTTATATTGCTGGAGTTTAGACTTCCTTCTTCGTATATAAAATTCACTTCCATTTCTCCAGCTTCACATGAAGGATTCTCTAGGTTTAGGACATCCCTTTTGGACGCGGAAGCCTAAAAAAATGTCCTGAAAAGTCTTTAGTGTAAAAAAAAGGCCAATTAAAATTTTTCTCGAAGTGAGGAAACCAAAACAATAACAACTGGACATAAGTACTTCTATAGATGCCAAGATGGTACAGAGCAAAACATAGAGATGTAGTCCATTATGGTGGAATTAGTTTTCTTCAGCTGGACTTTTCAGCAGCTTTGAATAAATTCCAGACAAGTCACAATATACAGCAACAATATTTTTTTTTTTTTTTTTTTTTTTTTTTTTTTTTTTTTTGTTCACGAAACTGCCCTTTTTTTTATCATTGAAAAAACATTCCTTGACCTCTCCAGTATCTTTATCCTTTTTCTCAAGGCAAGATGATGCCATCAGTCTGCTGCAGGAAGCATTTCCCCAGTCTTCTATACCCCAGTGATCAGATTGCAGCATTGTAACTTTGAAGCAGATCACAAGGATGGGCTGTTGGCAGAGGTATATCCGTGTCAGACAATTGTGCACAAGAACTGCACAGGCACCAGGATTTACTTCATCATCACCATCAGGTTCTTGCAGATATCTCCAGCTTCTTTGCAAAGCACTGTGGGAGCCCAGAAATCCTACTTTGCTTGATGAAATAGACTCCTCCACCTTACTAACTGTTCTGTATCTGCCACCCCTCTCTGCCAATCCCTCCACTGGCTTCCCATTGCCCAACGGATAAAATTCAAAACACTAACAATAACATATAAAGCCATTTATAACTCTACTCCAAATTACATCACCAATCTTGTCTCCAAATATCACCCAAAACCGTCCTCACACGACCTCCTGCTCTCTTGTTCCCTTGTCTCCTTCTCCCATGCTCATCTCCAGGACTCCTCCAGAGCTTCCCCCATCCTCTGGAATACTCTACCACAATTTATCAGACTATCGCCTACTGTGCTCACTTTTAGGCGATCTCTGAAATCCTCTCTCTTCAGGGAAGCCTATCCTGCCCTCAGCTAATAATGGAATCTTCTACTCCTCCTACCAGTCCATCCCCCACAGTTACTACCTTTTTGTACCACTAGCCCCTCCCTCTTAATTGTAAGCTCCAAGGAGCAGGGCCCTCCTTACCCTCTTGTACTGTTGCTGTATTGTCTCCTGTTATATTGTACAGCGCTGAGCAAACTGTTGGCGCGATATAAATCCTATATAATAATAATGAAATAATCTTTATTTAAGCCAAGAAGATGAAACCTTGTCTTGCCCCTTGTTGACCTATCATGAGGGTGGCCTCAAGCCATTAGCAAGGCAAAAGGGTGCTAAAGTGTGAAGGAAATAGTACTGATTCCTTTCTTATGCGCTATTTTTTCTTTAAAACTGCACACCAGGTTTAGGAGGATCTGAGGCACTCTGCGGGAAAAGCTGAAGACACTTGTAGGTTCCAACTCACCTGATTAGATATATGTATCGGTCTATCCATTCAGTTGTATCCAACCCTTGGCGATTACATGGACCATCACTCATAAGCGACTTTTTCCATGAATTCTCTTAGCAATTATTTTACAGGGTAGCATGCCAGGTGTTTCCCCAAGTAGATCCCGCATGGCCAGGGATGAAACTAGGACAATTTAGACAGGAGCCAATTAACCTACCAGCATGTCTTTGGTGTGTGCGAGGAAACCGGAGTACCCAGAGGAAACCCATGCAAGCACAGGGAGAACATGCAAACTCCATGCAGGAGGCGCCATGGTTGGGAATAGAACCCATGACCCATTTACTGCATGGCAAACGTGCTAACCACTAAGCCACTGTGCCGCTCGATTAGATATATATTGACTGCAAATGTACTTCAATAAAATTGTGTTTTCTTAGATCTCATACAGGGTGTTTGCACTTGATGCGGCAGTGGCGCTGCTGGAGCTGCCAGAGAGGGTCCCAGACTCTGCCTTCCCTCAAGATGACCTCAAATTTCTTCAGCACAAGTTCTTAATCCAGACCATCATTTTCAGCCGCTGTTCGGACAAGGCACCTACTGTTCGCAGCAAAGCCCTTTCCTGCCTGGCACAGTTCCTAGAGAAGAATGCTGTTTCTGAAGGGGTCCAAGAACTCCTGCAAGGCTGTAAGTGTGTGTGTGTATTTATAATAAAATGTATTGAGTCTGGTTAATAATGTCCACCACTCAGTCCTGCAATATACTCTCATCCTTGCCTACCCTTGAATGGGTGCATCTTGCTCATCCTACTACCTCCTTCAAGTGATATTAAACCTAATTTTATTAATTTTTTAAATTTTATGCTGAACATAATTAGGTTTTTGCATCACATAGTGACATTGCTGCTTTTTCTGATATATTTTTTTTTTTTTTTTTTTTTTTGCTTTTCCTCTTTTTTCACCCTTTCCCCTGATCACTGGCCCCAAATTAAATTTTGCTGGGGTCTTCTTGGCTTGCAGGCTGCCCAAAAGAATAGAAACCATGACATGACTGGGCATATATGTACAACAATACCTGAAATTATATGTGTAGTCCGGGGGGGGGAGGTAAATTGGGAATGAACAGAATTTTGTTGACATTTCGAGTGAACACTCCTCGATCATATCTGTAATAAAGCTGAGAATTTAGTACTACTTTTCAGCCAGTTGGACGTCTCAGGTTGGTACCGTTGGGGTTTCTCTACCAGTCTAAAGGGTCATTTGGTTACCTGAATCTTTAAGGTTAGGAACATAGGGCTTGGGCTGTTGTTCACTGGCTGGTCTTCTCTTTTGGACTAGTTTTGATTGTCCAAGGTTCCTTTTGGGTGACCCGTTATCCTGGGAATTGTCCCATAGTTTTTTTTTTATTTTTCTGTTGACCTTGTATCATTGTCTAGTTTCCTCCTTTTTGGGCGGAGAATTCTCAAGGCTGTTTACCTTCCCTAATCTAGAAAGTTCTCACTTATTCTCACACATGCTGTCTTGGAAGGAGATTTGGGAAACCCAGAGTTAGACTTATTGGTAACGATTTCCGGGAGTCTTCCTTTACACTAGCATTTCTGCGCAGGTGTTATCTTCATTTTCCTAAATATAGTAGAAAACACCTGTTGTAATTCTCCAAGGTGGTGAGTGGTCGGTGCACTGGCTTGTAGTGTTGTCCTAGCACCCGAGCAAACGTGTAGATAAAAGGAAGCCAACAGCTTGATCTTCCACAATGAATGCGTTTATTAATCCAGATGTGGTACAAAATACAGGGCTTGCGCGTTTCGGCGTGTAGCCTTAGTCACAGCCATGATATGTATCATCTTTTTCTGTAGCTTTGGATTTTGTCCTTCAGTTCTAATTTACTGCTGACCAGTCTAGCTGAAGGATTTCTGTATGAAGTGTTTTTTTTTAATTGGGGGGGTGAAATAAACAACTTATTAGTAGGGGTAAAGGATGATGTAAAAGGAATACATTGCAGCGCTGAGAAATGGAGTATATACTCCAAATCCAATTTGAATTTACAGAGTGTCCAATTCCACCATCCTGAGAGACCGCCAGTGTAGGTAAATTAATAAATTAAATGTGTACTAAAACACCAACCACTCAAGATGTGCTCATTTACTAGATGGGTAAGTGGTTCACTCCTTGTTTATTGAGGTGTTTATCATACAGATGAGGCATTACAGAAGGATGTTCCGGGGAAATATTAGGTCTCGAGTTTTAGCTGTCATCTATGTTGATATGCTTGATTACATGGTTTGGCATGTTCTTCCTTGGAAATATGGAGGACCGTATTACCATAGAGAGGCTAGTGATTGGTACAGAAGCGGATAAATGAAGAAATATGTAATGTTCTTTTGTGACTGTCGAGATTTGTTTTTGACAAATTTGTAAGTTTTTTTTTTTTTTTTTTTCTCCTCTGCAGCTTCTAGTCATACCCGAAAAACTATCGGTGTCATGCGGCCCTCTGAAGTATCTGAGGCCAGTGACCAGCAAGGGACTGATGGTGAGCTATTGGCTGTTTTTTTATCTATTATACTGCTTCTGCCTGTTCAGTTTAGTCAATGGTGTGTGCATTTTGATAAAACTGAGTGAGCTGTTAATAAAAAAAAAAACATAAGAATTATAAAATAAATTGTATTCCTAATATGTTTAAAAAGTCTAACATAAATATAATGGTGAAAAATGAAAAAATTGTTTAAAAACATTAACAATATTCCAATAATTAAGTGTCCGTATACAATATCACTATTCCAAAATGAAGTGTCCATATATATTCCGTGAAAAAACTCTTTCCAATAATGTGGGCAAAATTATTTGTGTTCAATTCACCACTATTGCGTAATATTGACAACCTTGCGTGCACCTTCACCAGTTGCGCTCTCACCTGCTAAATATGACCAAACTGTTAAGTGAGGTCATAAATGGCTTGTGTCCTTTTTGTTTGAAGATTGCTAATCCCATCCAGTTTAAGTCCAAAGTTAGGGATTCCTTCACTTCCTTAAGACTCTTCCTCCATTGGTGTATATGCCATAAAGCGTAATGAAAAACAGTGCCTTATCTTCTTTTAAACCATTTATTAAGCAAAGTATTGCACTCACATGTAAATGGTAATAAAATTGCTTTAAAATATGATCCACAGTGTTTGCTAGCTTTCAAAACTGTAAACTTGCTGTGTGGCTGCCTGTCTTTCTCCTCAAGCGTCGTGACGTCAGAGCCCCTCCTCTACGAGTTGCGCCACCAGGTCACATGGTGATGAATGATGAATCGTTTACCCCTGATGAAGCCACGTGACCTGGTGGTGCAACGTGTAGGGGAGGGGTTCTGACGTCATGACGCTTGAGGAGACAGGCATCCACACATCAAGTATACAGATTTGAAAGCTAGCAAACACTGTGGATCATAGTTTAAAGCGATTTTATTAGCTTTTACATGTGAGTGCAATACTTTGTTTAATAAATGGTTTAAAAAAAAAGAAGGCACTATGTGTTTCATTACTCTTTATGGCATATACACCAATGGAGGAAAAGGCTTAAGTAAGTGAGGGAATCCCTGACTTTGGACCTAAACTGGATGGGATTAGCAATCTTCAAACAAAAAGGACACAAGCTATTTATGACCACACTTAACGGTTTGGTCATATTTATCAGGTGAGAGCGCAACTGGTGAAGGTACACGCGAGGTTGTCATTACTATACAATAGTGGTGAATTGAACACAAATAATTTTGTCCACGTTATTGCAAAAAGTTTTTTCACGGATTATATATGGATACTTAATTTTGGAATAGTGATATTTGTATATGGACACTTAATTATTGGAATATTGTTATTTTTTAGCAACAATTTTTTTCATTTGTCAGTGGAGCGCGACACTATTATATTTATATTTGATTTGTTTTGGCACCATTTAGTATGGGTATGTGTGATGTGTGGGTGATCCACTATACTATACCTTCATATTAATTATTTGGTAAAATATATTTTATTTTGGCACCATAGTAGCTCGCAAGACTTCACTTATTGAGTTTAAAAAGTCTGATGTACACAATAGACAATGTATAAAAGTACTATTGCATAAAGAGTAGTCACAATCGTGATGTACACCCTTGGAAGGTCTACACGTGGATTCACTGCTTCCTCCGTACCAACAAGGATTTTTTTACGCATAAAAACATACATATGTGATCATAAGAAACTTCTACAAAATAAAGAAAATCAGTAATTATATGAAGAAAAAAGACACAAAATACATATCTCCCTATATTTACCCCATATGTGTACCACATACACACCATGTAACAAATCCTACCCTCAAATTTATCTGGGACAAAAAACAACCAGGTGATTAGGATGACTGTCATCAGTAGAATGCGCCTGCCGGTCCATGGAAGAGAATCCCATGCATTTCCGCACCAAGGAATTGCCTAGAAAAGGGGAGAAAGGAGGACACTATTTGTGTAACCACAAAATAACCACCATATTGGGACAACTCGCATAGGACCTAGAAATATAATAAACTGTATATATCATGTATAAAAGATATATAAACTGAAATAATTAGATTTCAAGCTCACCTATATTAACAGCCACATCTAGCATGGAATCTTGTGACACACCTAACTCAAACTGGGAGGTTTAAAGATTGACCTTTTTTTTTTTTAATCTTTTTTTTTTTTTTTTTAATCTTTTTGTAATAGTACTTTTATACATTGTCTATTGTGTTACATCAGAGTTTTTAACTTATGAATCCTATTTTAATAATTTGTTTTATATGATGAACTTAATTTCACACTGTGGTCACCGGAGGTATATTTAAAGTCCCATTAATTTTGGTTTGGTTGTTAGGTGTAGACATTTCACAGTGCTTTCTCCTTTGCAGGTAGTTGCCGGGCAATGTCTGGAACCAATGACCAATGGAGTCTAGTGAATGGTACAGAGGGTGAGAAATTAAATTTTTTTTTCAGAATTGTAATGTTTTGTGATTGTCAAACCATTGTTCCTGAAATTTAGTTGTTTTGTTTTCTTTTTTTATACCACTTGCCGCCCACCAACAGTAAATCTACTGCTGGCAGACAGTTTCCCCAGGCACTGCAGCGTAACTGTATGTTTAGGTGCACTGGCACGCTCCAGTGGACACAATGGATCACAGTGCTTGGTACTCAGCCACTGTGACCAGTCAGTATCCCTGATCACCACCACACCAGTCATATGATGACACTGTACAGCACTAGTGATCGTATGTAAAAGAAAAATTGTGAACATTTTTTTATTCATTTCCTAGAAAATTGTGAAAAAAAAAAAAAATTACAACTTCAAAAAAATTAGCCATGCCTCCTACTAAATACCCCGGTCTGTCTACCTTCTAAAAAAGGAACATTTGTGGGTGGTTTATTTATATTTATATATATATATATATAATATATATATATATATATATATATATATATATATATATATATAAAATCTCCTAGATTGTAAGCTCCAAAGAGCAGGGCCCTCGATCCCCTCATGTTTTGCATTGTATTGTTGTTCTGTCACATGTTCTGTCCCCCTTTGTAATGTACAGCGCTGAGCGAACTATAGACGCTTTATAAATACTGTACAATAATAAATAATATATATATATGAGAGAGACTGACTCTTTTGCAAAGGGTTATTTTACTAAAGACATGTAGCAAACTACATTTATGAATTATTTGTTTACAAATTTTTAAAACCGTAAACCAAGACAAATTTTTCCCCCCCAAAAAATGTTAATTTTTTCTTGTATATAGAGCAAAAAATAAAAATCCCAGTGGTGATCAAACACAACCAAACGAAAGCTCTATTTATGTAAAAAACAATTATATATATTTTATTTGCGTTCAGTGTTGCATGACCGAGCAATTGCCAGTGAAAATAGCACAGTGCTGAATAGCAAAAAATGCTGCGGTCATGAAGGGGGGTAAAACCTTCCATGTGTCCACTGGTTAATTATTTGTTGATCCTTTTTTCTAGCCTCTAACCATACCCGAAAAACATGTGTCTTGCGGACCATTGAAGTATTAGAGGCTAGTGACCAGCTGGGAGCTGATGGTGAGTTGTTGGCTGTTTTTATTTATTTTACTGCTTTTGTTTGTTCGGAATTCACTATAGATGTGTATTTTGATATAGAAGGCTTAAGCGGGCCATACATGGTTCGGTTTTTCTTCTTCAGCCAGCTGGCTTAAGGAAAAATACTGAACCGATCCCCCATCCACACACTCGAAGTGGATGCGGGAATCCTCCCCATGGTGCCATTGTGGTATGACATTGGGACTCCCCCCACCGTCAGAATACACTGGTCAGTGTTGCAGCTATGTAATTGGCTGTACGCGCTGATCGAAGCAAACGTTTCCAACAATACGATTCATGGGAAGTCGACTTATTGAACTCTCATGAACGGGAATGGTCATATGTGGCTTGAAATTTGGCCAGTACCTGCTGAACCGGACAAATGTTGACCCATGTGTGGCCAGATTTTAGTTCTGTTTTTACTTGCTTCTGCTTTATTATTATTATACAGGATTTACACTACTTTTGTCTTTTTACAGGAAGCGAGATATTAGCAACTCTCAGATCAAGAGCTGGTGATGAGAAGACAAATGTCAGGAAATCTGCTCTCCAGGTAAATTGGAAAACCTTGTTTCCTTTTCCCCATTTTCACTGAAATTTGAAGACCAGGCCACCCAAAATGTATAGTTTTAAATTGTTCGTTTTTGAGAAAAAAAATGAAAAGGTGACCTATCGGCCTACACCAACCACTGCCCCTTTACTCCCATTCCCAACTGCACTTTCCTCCATGGGTGGTACAGTTTCATGGTGTGTGACGGCACTGACCTATCTGAACTCCTCTGATCCGTCCTGGTGTCCCTAGGGAGAGAGGAAGAACAGCACGGTCTTCAAACCCAAGACCGCTGCACCAGCCTACATGAATGGGGAAACTATCACCCATAGAGGCGAGTGCAGTTGGGTAGGGGGGGGGGGGGGGTGTAGGGAATTCATGTGTTTTTTTTTTTTTTTTTTTTTTTGTTTTTTTTTTTTTTTTTTTTTCCTGAAAAGGTGAACTAACCCTATATTGGCTCGAGCCTTCTATTCCTTTTTGAATTTTACTCACATTTTATCTGTTAGTGCTGTAATTCCTCTGCTGATTAATGCGACGCTTGAATATTAATGATGGGTCCACTTTTAATCTGTTACCACAGAAGGGGGATATCTGGTCTGTTTCCTCCTAGTGTTTTCAGTGAGTCAAATAGACTATTATATAGTATTTATATAGCGCCAAAAATTTTTCTCAGCGACTAAAGATAATGTATACAGTGGATGAGTTTCTTGACACCCTCTGCATAATATTGTGGACTTATTAATGAGAAAAGAGGATGGCCAAGAATACTTGACATGCAAGCAGTTTTAGCCCGTGTTGTAATATAGCTGTTCTTTTGTCTCTCCAGGTCTTGGTTAGTATACTGAAATATAATCTGATCCCATGCAGTGCTGAGGAGCTCACTACACTACAGGACCGGTGCAGAGATCCCGCTGTATCTGTGCGAAAACAATCACTCACCTGTCTGACAGAACTTCTGCAGGTAATGGCTAGTTTTGCTTTCTTAACAGAGACACCATTATTTTGCCCGTTCAGGACAAAGTGACCATGTCTGTGTAAAGCTGCCCTCGTGACCTAATAATATTTGCCTCCCCAGTGGTTCCCATGCTGCACCCTCCTCCCATTGCAATTGGTGCAAAATACCAGGGTCTTCAGAGTATAGGGGAGCATGTAACCTCCACCAGTCTGACAAGTAGGTCTGACATGAGCATGCAAAGCCCTAATGCATTGCTTGGTTCTAGTGGTCAATTGTTAGGCCCTGACACTGTCATATGATGGAGAGGGTGATGCCAGCATTCCCTCTATATATTCTGACATTGTGCATTTTCCAGTTGCAATGGAGGGAAAGTGCCGGAAAGGCGATTATTAAGTTGTTTGGGGATGAGGGGTGAAAGTCACCTTGCCCATTTAGTCTATTTAAAGCAGCCTCTTAGTAGTACATGCTGTTGCAAATCTTTTTAGAATAGCTTTGTCACACGGTGCCACTGGAAGATAATATCTGATAAAGGTTGCTTTCCATGTTAAAGTATTACTAAACCCTGGACCCTGCGTCCACTATATCCACTTGGTCTCCCCGGACCCTGCGTCCACTATATCTTGGTCTCCCCGGACCCTGCGTCCACTACTATCTTGGTCTCCCCGGACCCTGCGTCCACTATATCTGGTTGGTCTCCCCGGACCCTGCGTCCACTATATCTTGGTCTCCCCGGACCCTGCGTCCACTATATCTTGGTCTCCCCGGACCCTGCGTCCACTATATCTTGGTCTCTCCCGGGCCCTGCGTCCACTATATCTGGTCTCCCCGGGCCCTGCGTTCCACTATATCTGGTCTCCCCGGGCCCTGCGTCCACTATATCTGGTCTCCCCGGGCCCTGCGTCCACTATATCTGGTCTCCCCGGGCCCTGCGTCCACTATATCTGGTCTCCCCGGGCCCTGCGTCCACTATATCTGGTCTCCCACAGTGCACAGAACATGGAAATGCAATTATTTTAGTAAATATAAACTGCTAAATACCTTTTCTCATCAGCAGTATATAGCAGTCATGTGCCTTCTATCAGTGTCCAGCCCACCACTAGCTAAAGCTTGTAGGAGGAGCTTTCTTTCTGCTCTAGAAGGATGGAAATCCCCTGCCCTTTGTATGGATAGTGCTAATTGGCCATGTGCTGAACACCTGCACTCAAGAAAAAAAAATAAACCTCTCTAGCAATAAACACCAAAACTAAGCATGTGCATGCCTACGGTTCAGTCTGGAGATAAGAGGTGGTCGCTTGAAAAAGGGGAGGAACAGAGAAGAAAGGATCAAATGGCCTTTTTACACAATGCAGAGGATTAACCCCTTAGGTTCCACAGTGAGTATAACAAGCATACTTTACTGCATATACAGACTGATTTTACTGTTGTGGGTTTAGTAACACTTTAATAACAGCCATTTGCTAGTTGAACAAAAACTTGGCTAGATTGCAGCCTTGACTGGTCAGACTTTGCCAGGGCCGTGGCTGTACTCCTAGTTGCAATTACAATGGAAGTAAATGGGGAACAAGAACACATTTGGAGTTTTATTAGTGTTAAGAGTTCATGAGGTTTGTGTGTTTTATGCCGCTTTCAGATGAAATTATGCAGTCTTTGGCCCCGGTCATACTAAAGCCTAATCAAAAGAAGGCTTTTGCCACATCCAAGCAATAGAATCAGCCCCAAACCATTTAGGGATGTCTGAGGCCTTCTGACCCTCAATAGTGGGGGATCAAGTTCAAGGCCAATCAATGTAATTTTTATTTGTTATGACTCTTGTGTAGTTCTGCTTTTTCCATCTCTTCAGATTCCACAGAGACATCAGGTAAAACGACTCTTGCTGTGTGTCTCCTTTCAGGCTCAGCCAAATAATGTTCTGGTACAGAAGGCTTGTTTAACCGGATTGGTGCCGGTGGTGCTGGACACAGAGACCACTGTACAGGAGAAGACACTGGAGTGCTTGGACCAGCTTATTCTTCAGAACATTCGCCATTACAAACACTATAAGGACAGTGATGAGAAGCAGAAACTCACCTGGGATCTGCTGCAGCTGCTCACTACAGAGTGCCAGGATCTCGGGTGAGGAGACGGAAAATCTATATTCATCATTCTAACCTACGATAAACAGTTGGCTTCCCACAATTCTGCCTTTCCTACTCCCCTGGAGCTCTCTGCAGTTCAATCCTGTTGGCTAGCCGCATGCATAGTAGCTATTCTTTGGTTTTTGTTCATATTCCGTATTGTGATTTGCATGTACTAGAGATTCGAAAAGATGCAACTTTGTCTTTGAAAGCCAAAAATTGATTTTTCAATCCAGACCAGTGTGACCTATTACAGTGGAAAATTGTATTGATTAGGCAGTATTTGGCTTTCGGTAATCAATCTTTTGTTCAATTTTTGATTAAGCTAATGTTAAAATTGTCCTGGTGTTTAAAAGGGATCTTTACTGTGGAAGCTAAGCCCTGTGCAAGCAGAGGGCATATGATTAGTCAGCGGTGTTGCCTGTAAGCATTCCCCCTAGCTTTGCATGCTCATGTCAGATCTACTTGTCTGAATGGTGGAGAAATGATTAAGGAACTGCAGGACAGGTTCAGAAATCACAGATCCACAACATAGATGGAGAAGCAGGGAGATCCATGTACTGTACGTCCTCAGGTACAGCTTCCTCCAGCAAAAACCGTGAGCAGCACAGTAGTGACATCACTTAAATGAACTCCAAATCCCATGAGGCTAAGCCAGCAGCAGCAGCAGTGCTTTGGCTGATCTCATACTGCTATGATGCTCCAGGCATGATAATGATAAGCGAGTGGTCCGATTTAAATCCCATTGATCTTCAATTCAGACTGGCCATAGACCACAAATTATTCTAAAGATCTGCTTTATGACATGTTTTGCTTATTAGCAGTCCTCACACTTTAAGAAACCAGGAATTGATATACATAAAGGAGAAGTATGGGAATACAAAAAAAATCTATACTCTCCTTCCTCCTGCAGCTGTCCCCTGCCAGCTCTAAGCCCTATAAGTTAGTAATCACGTGACTGCTGATCGCTCAGTTCTTCGCTCAGAGGTGAGAGTGGTGACTGTCAGTCACTGCTCTCTGCTCTGCCCCTCCAGTGCTCATTGGAGCACTGGGCTGGCGAAGGGGCATGAGCAGCTGGTTCAGGCTCTCAGCAGCGCGCTGAGAGGCTGACCCACCTACTGAAAACTCATCTGGGTGAATCCCAGCGTTATTGTTGGGATCCTTCCAGTGCCTGGAGCGGATTTGACGTCGCCCAACAGCAGGCAATAGCCCACGGTCAGCTGATTCTGGCTCACAGCAGAGCACAAATAAGTGTACTCCTGTGACCCACAAAAGAAGCATAATCCAGGGGGCGAAAAGTTGGCACACAGAATAAATTTAATTGGCAGTCTTCCCTTATTGAATTACATGTAGTACAGCTGCAATGAACAGCCACGACTTAACGCCTATCGGCCGAAACGCGTTGGGTGTTTTTTTTTTTTTTTTTTTTTTTTTACAGCTGTAGTACATGTAATTCAATAAAGGAAGACCACTATCTGAATTTATCTTGGGTGCTGACTTTTCCACCTATGGAGGAGTAAATATTGTAACACTTTTGACTATAACTTTTATTTATACTTTTTTTTTTTTTTTTTTTTTTTTTTTTTAGTCGTTATCTGACAAAAGCATTTCACTTATGGGCCAAGCAAGATAAATTTTCTTCCACTTTAATCAACAACTTGATCTCCCACACGGATACAGAACATGCTGCCCCAGCCTGGATGGTGCTTGCTAAAGTTGCCATATCTGCACCAAAGTTGGATTATACAAAGATCCTGAACACTTGGGAGGACATCAGCAGGTGAGTGGTCAGCTTGGCATTCAATTCTGTAAAAGTGTTAAAGATGTTTGAAGACTACATTGTGAATGGTTGTGGCTTTCTCTTTTAGGCAGAACAACACAGGTTCCACCAGTACCACTGCCCATATTCTTTGTGTAATCGGTCACATTGCGAAGCACCTGTCTGCAGACACAAGAACACAGCTGATTGGTGAGCATGACTGTTCCAGACATCGAGGGGCAAATTCTATTAATGTGGCCTGTCGTTTGATTCTCTGATATCTTCGCTATGCTGTAGGCATTTGAATGATGAGAGTGGGAAATCCAAGGTTCATGTACTTTATCAGCACAGTTACAGCTGAACTCCAGGCAAACCGTTATATACACAGATGAGACACATATAAGGGAGCTGTTTTACCTGACAAAAGCTTTTAATATTTCTCTAATCCAGTTCTAAGATTTACACCGCCTTGCCACACAGCACAGCCCTTTCTGGCAGTTGGAGACCTGATTTTGCTGTGATCACATACAGGACTTGTCCTTTCCCCAGCCTTTGACTTGATAGTTACAGGAGAAGCAGCAGGCTGTTGAGACTATTGAGCATCATTCTGCTCTCTCCTTCTATCAGCACGCTCCCTGTTAGCACATGAGCACTGCAGCACAACTGAAAATATATGTTTTGGGGGTTTATGCAATCGGCAGGCCTAAATGATTTTTTTTTTAAAAACTATGAAAAACCGGCGTTGGCAGCAAAAGGGTTAAATCACCTTTTACAAACAAAATGAAACCAGCACTCAAGTCCTCATGCAGACCAAAGTATATTCAGAATGCCAAACAAAGAGGTGCTGCCCTTCAAAGATCGGGAAATCTGGACGCTGGTAAACAAAAGCAGACAAGGGCGCACTCTGATCGTGCATTGCTGTGATACACCACATATTTATTGTGTAAAAAAAAAAAAAAAAAATGCTTGGGACCAGCAGGCATACTTTTCAGCTCTGAGGAAGGGGGTTTGTCTCCCGAAACGTGTCAACTTATCCCTATTAAGGGCACAGTATTGCATTCACTGTTATTGCAAACTACGTATCCTGCTTTTAATTTCCTTTTTGGTTTGTGAGTATATATCCATTTTTTTACACAATAAATACGTATACCACGGTAATGCACGATGAGAGTGCGCCCTTGTCTGCTTTTGTTAAATCACCTTTTAGTTTGTTCATAGATGAGGACTCACTACACAGTAATTCGTAGGCAATTCTACTATGTTTGCTGCTTCTGATGGCTGCTGAATTGCAAGGCATTATGGTGGCGAGTTGGTTCCTCAGCATTAATGATAAGAAAAGGCTGAATTGTCTGTTGCAGAGTTTACTACGTTTTTGTCTTTTTGTTTTTCAGACCATGTTAAGTCCTGGTTGAAGGAGTTTAAAACGCCACCAGAGATAATCAGTCCGGCAATTGAGTCCTTGCAGAAACTCTGCTATGCACAGTTTGATTCTATTGAATCTGCCCAGGTAACTGATGTCTCCTAGTATTTGGGAGGTGCTCAATGTCTATCTTCTGTAGCTTTCCTGCAGTCTGACTTTCTTTTTTTGAAGCGGAGTTCCACCTAAAAAAATAAAAGGTCAGCAGCTACAAAAACTGTAGCTGCTGACTTCTAAAATACAGCCACTTCTCTGTCCCTCGGTCCAGCTGTGTCTTCACCATGGCTGGTTTCACTGGCTGTCTTCTCTCCCTGGCGCCGGCATCTTCAGTGTGGGCACCCGGCTGTGACAGCTTGTGGCTTCACAGCCGGTGCCCAATGCGCATGTGTGAGAAGCGCTACACTTTGTGAATGGCCCCGTAATTTTCTGGGACCTGTCATGTGTCCCAGAAGACTACGGGGTGGGAGGGGGGAAGACAACTTCCGATTGCCTAGGCGAGATGGGAGCCGGTAGTTGTCAAATTCGGGTACCCGCTCCCCAAAGGTGCCAATCCTTAATGGGTAGTGGGGGACAAAGGCTTAAAGCGGAACTTCCCCTTTTAGGTGGAGCTCCGCTTTAACTTGCCTGCGGTCTTATTTGTGATTTCCTCTCTGGCCCCTTATATGTTTAACTTTGTTTAATTTTTTTTCTTTTTTTTTTTTTTTTTTTTTCTAAAACTTGATACGGATATTGTAGAAGCTACTGAATGAAGTGTTTGGCGATCTGGTTTCAGTTTGCGAAGAATACATCTCCTCTATTGTGATGTCAGATACCCAGCAGTTTGATCATGAGTCAATGGTGAGTATTACTGCTTAACAAGACAGGAGGACTTTTTTGAACCTGATATTACAGGTTTTATACCAGAGATATGCTTCTACCTCCACTCTCTAATACCCTCTGTAATATTGGATAAAAATGATCAATGCAACTTGGACATGAAGTGTAATATTGCCCAAACAGAGCTCAATTTTACACCCTCTAATAGGTTCAGATTGTTGTGCTACAGATTTATGAAAAAAATCGCCTTTTACACAATAGGATTAAAGCTGAACTCTGAAAATTAGACAAAATCTACCCTTTCAGTGGAGCCCCAGCACTGGTAAATGCTTGTTTAGTCTAGGGGGTGCATGGATAATATGTAATACTTCTTAGTCCTGGCTTCGGCTGGCTCCTTCAGTTTCTGCGGCCACTCCGGCACCACTGCAGCTGTAAATTGCGGTCACATCCTGCCTCCATGTACAATGCAGGGTTAATAGCCCTGCATTGTCTGTGATGACGCTGATGAATTGCTCACAATCTGGAGCTTTGAGCAGAAGAGAACAGTGTTGAGTGGTCTGCTGGATAAAGGGAATACTGTAAGTAATGAATGAAGTACAACTAAAAGGTGCCTCCCTATTGGTCCTTTTGATGTGATGGTCCGCCAATCAGAATGTTATCTATCGATAGAAAATGAAAAAAAGTGAGCGCTGATCCTAGAAAGCAGCTAGGCACACTAACCAATAAATACTTATACAGAATAATATAAATAAAAGTGCAGCGCTAAGTAATAAATCTGAAAATTGTCCACTGTAAGTCCAGTTCATATAAACGTGCCAGGTGACAAATAGAGATCCACAATGGTGATCCGTGAGGAAGTAGCAGAAATGCACACTCACCAGAAGGCGGATATACATAAGCAGTATATATCAAAAGCCCATGGATCCTCGGTCAAGAAGAAACAGGTCTGGTCAGCGTGTTGTGATCTGATTTGACAGATGGTGCTCCTGAAGGCAGAATAGAGGCTGTCAGCTGATTGTCCACGGGTAACGGACCCAGGAAGGGAAGTCCAATTCATCCAACAAGAGTCCAGAAGAGCGGATCCCACAGATGGGACACCAAGTATTGGGACACCAGTATTGTGACACTTCATAGATGGAGTGGTGACTCTCCTCCAGAGTACCTCTTTGCAGAGTCCTTATTCGGAATCCAAAGCATCCACCTAAGAGGAGGAAGAATTTTTGCTCTGCACCCTTAAGGAAAGGAAAGGCCAATCCACGCTGACCAGACCTGTTTCTTCTTGACCGAGGATCCATCGGCCTTTGATATATACTGCTTATGTATATCCGCCTTCTGGTGAGTGCGCATTTCTGCTACTTCCTCACGGATCACCATTGTGGACTTCTATTTGTCACCTGGCACGTTTATATGAACTGGACTTACAGTGGACAATTTTCAGATTTATTACTTAGCGCTGCACTTTTATTTATGTTATCTATCGATAGTTTGATAAATAAGGAGAAGAGGGGGCAAATTCAAGCTGAACATTTAAAGGGAAATTGTACGTGTTATTTAAGGTAGTGAAACTTGGCATCTAAAGAGGTTTATTGTGGTTTTCACTGAAGGTTGCAGATTTCTGTTTATTAGTATGAATTGCCCTGGTTTGATACAAGTTTTCTGTAAAATTCTGTCCCATACTCGTCTGGTTCATAACCTTTCTTTAAAATAAATAATAAAACATCCGCTATTAAATATCACAAAAGACAGCAAATATATCACACCATAGAGTGATAAGGAGAGCTGCTACCAATCACTGTGCTATTAAATATCACAAGATACAAAAAATATATCAGACCTTAGCGTGATAAGTAGAGCTGCTACCACCTATACAAGCAATCAATATACACAATACAAGCAATCAATATACACATAAGAAACAATCAATCAGATAAAAGTGGAGCTCTGCACAGTACAAACATAAAAGTAGATCTGAGACCACAAAGGTAAAAAATGCAAATAGTAATAAATCCTTAAATAAAGTCCCAAATGCCACCCATGGGACAACTGCCAGATCAAGATTGCTTAAAGATTTAAATTGGACTGTGTATGGGACTTCTACTTAATCACTTCCTATTTCACATGTGGCATTTGGGACTTTAGTTAGGACTTATTTTTTTTTTTGCATTTTGTCTCAATTTTATGTTTGTAGTGTGGAGCGCTTCACTTGTATCTTACTGATCTTAACCTTTCTTTCTCTGCCCAGGTCCGATATCTCTTCACCCTGGGAGATGCCGCCCAGTTGTGTCCGGCTCGCGTGGAGAAACGGGTCTTGATGTTGGTTCAGTCCATATTGGCCTCATTGCCAGAGCAACAGGGTAAGACTTATTGGATTATGCTGAATATGACCCTCAAAAGGTATGTTATAGTCCTTCACAAAACATGTCTGCATTTATTTAGGTTCTGTTGGTTCGGAGAATGAAGACGTCCCTCATTCACAGAGTCAGTCTCAGCCGCAGTTACAAAGTCAGTCTCAGCTGCAGACTCAGTCCCAGCCGTCCTCGCAACCTCTTTCCCAGTTCAGAGGCTCCAGAATGCCACCGCTGGTCCGCGCTCATGCTTTCATCACTCTTGGTAAGAGACCAGACATTTACTCTCTTGTAGTTTTCTGTAGAATGCTAAACAAAAGGTTTGCTGCCCCTTTAAATCAAGATCTAGATCAGCCTTTCTCAACCAGGGTACCCAGGCACCCTGGGGTGTCTTGAGGTTTCTTCAGGGGTGTCTTGGCAAAATATCTACAAATTGCCCAAAACTTGTATACAAGCCAGCAGGTGGAACAAGCCTGCCTTTTAGTTACACAAAGCCACAGGTTTTCATTGTGCACCATTACAACCTTCTAGCCGCTGGTGTCCTGACAACCAATGACACATCAGTTGATAAGAAGGATGTCATCTGCCTGCACAGCACCCTAGTTTGACCCTCCCCCGCCCCTCTCCATCAGTGCTGGGGTCACATTAGCTCAGTGATGGAGAAAAACTGAGGGAGAAGAGAAACATTGGAATACTAGTCAGTACCAGTGTGCAAAAGTGTATTTGTTTTGCAAGAATAAATCACCTCTAATCTTGGGATGTTGCTGTGGTATATAAAACTGTTAATTGTTTTTCACGTTTTATTATGGGCCGCCCTTCTTAAATTATGGATAGTCTTGAGGCACCCCATTCTAAAATGGGGTACTTCAAGACTATCCATAATTTTAAAGATCACACCAATAAAGGGATCCAAATCAAAAAGTTCAATAAGTATAAAAATTGTGTAGTGCTAAAATTATAAGATATGCCCCAACTGAGGACGTACTCTTTGTACGAAAAGCATCTTGGAGGAAGTCTGCACGCCCTGACGTTACGCTGCAGGATCACGGAGGTCCGGCGGCCATCATACTTACACCAGCTGGTCAGTTCTCATAGCCGTTTTAGGCTGCTTGTTTTTTGTATCTGCATTAAGGATTTGCTGCATGTATGTTTTACATTAACTTTTATCTACCTATACGCTTAATACATTTTGGATTGTATAAGCAATGTTAATGCAAATTATTACAATTTATATATGTGTCAAAAAACAAAATATTTTTTGTGGCACATACAAAAAACAAAAAAAGATCTTGAGAACGACCTGTGGGTGGGGTGAAACGCGTTGGTGTATTTCCGGCTGGCTGTCCCGGCGTCCGACGTCATTTCCGGTGAAGTGGAACGCACGCTGAGCGGTGCGTTCCAGGGGCCATCTTGCCTAGAGGAGGAAGCTGCTTCTGAGGTCTGTCATCCTGCTGGCTTGCCTGGCTGTGGGGTCTTACTGGAAGATCTATGGAAAATCGTTATTACAACAATAAAATGCTGGTTATTATCCTTATAAATGTGAGTGGTCTGGTTTAAAGGTTATTGGGATTGAAAGTCATAACGGTATCACGCTATTTGGTTTTTTTTCTTCCTGAATTTTGGTGGAGTCAGTGAGGGGAGGAATCGGAGGAGGTTTTCTATGTTCTAGAGGAGGCAATATCTATAAAAAAGGGGGTCCAGGAGCCCTTAATAATCCTGAAAGGCGTTCTACTCACCAAACATCTGGTGAGTGCGGTTCATGTTGGTTTTGCACTGGTGGATGGTGGAAGGACTACTATTGGCACTGAAGAAATTTATGAAAATATAAGCTTGTTTTTTATCACGGGACTTTTTTTGGATATGTCACTGGACTTGTTTTGTTTTTTGTATGTGCCACAAAAAATATTTTGTTTTTTGACACTTCTATCTATATAAATTGTAATAATTTGCATTAAAATTGCTTAAAGTTGGGTATTTTATAGATTGCTTTTCTGGTGTGTTTTGTGCTGTTTTTAGTTGAAAAAAAAATTTTTTTGGGTTTTATACCTATGCACAGCAGCATCTCACGTGGTTAAGTGTGTGGGGAAGGAGGTCCTGGGCGCTGAGGTCTCTTTTTTATTATTTTGGATCGTAACCTACCATACTACACTATGGGCATTTCCTTCTGCCGCTCTTTGGTGAGCTTTTAATCCCCCAGAGCCCCCTTCCCCCCATGGTGACCATTTCCATATCCAGAAAAGGTTGCATCCATATCCTTAAAGGGGTCTTCCATACATAATGCCAACCTTGATGTTATCCATCCACCCTGGGCTGTCATCTCCAGTACCATCCTTAAGAGGGACTCCGGGCTGATCTTCATTGATTTGTATACTGCGCATTTTCTATGCGTACCTGGTGAGTGCGCACTTTAACTATTTGTCTGCCGCTCACATGGACTGTGGAATTACATCATATCTGGATTAACATAAGTCACCTCTGGTCACATCATATAATACTTTCATCTCACATTATAAATACTTTTCCTATTTTGGACTTTTTATATTTTTATTATTCGTATCTACGTTTTAGTGTATCTTATAATTTTAGTGCTGCACAATTTTTATACTTATTTATCTTGAAGGTTTGTGGTTTCCTTTTAGTGTACAGCTGCTTTTCATCATTTTATCAAGCGCTCACTGATCTTTTATACATCAAATCAAAAAGTTCATATGCATAAATAGTCTGAAAAAGTGGCAAAGTGGGGGAGGGGGGGGGGGGCTCTTACCAAATAGAGGTGATCTTGAATTGCAGGGATAAAAAGCGCTTGAATCCGACCTCCAGGCTGACACTCTTACTGTCAGGTTAAGTGTCCTCATCGATGGAGTGTGTAGACAAACCAAATATCAGCCGTAGTTTCTAATGTCACTCTCCGCGATTCCATGTATAAAGCGCAAACAGGGAGGAGCCTCATGGTGCAGTAGAATTAAAATTGTCTGCAGTGTCAGCCAGCACGCCGGTACATGATGACGTTACCCTCAGACTCCACCCCATGCGGTTTCCCCCCAAAAAAAATGGCGCCCTCTGGGATTTGGGTTTTCTGTAGAATGCTTTAGAGGGGGACAGTAAAGAGTGATCACTTTAGACCTTTTCTGAGATGATTGCCCCTTGAATTCCCCTCTGGCCTTCATAGGCAATATCAAATTACCTTTATTAGTAATATCCAATGTTCAGGCAATTGTAGGACACAGTTCCTCATAGATATGTGAAGACTCTTGAGCTGGTCTTTTTTGCCTGATTGGTAAGCACCTACTGTCTATGGGTGTATGCTGACATCGCCAAGTAGCTGCTGTGCTGAAATTGTCTCTTGTTGGCTTAGTTGGTGCACCATGGAATACACTATATAGAGGTACGTTTTACCTGTTTGTAGTGACAGCTGGACAGCATACATATTGGGTCTCGGTGGGCTATTTTTACTAGGGTATTATTATTTCTTGGTTTAGTATCTTTTGTGTATTCACGTTTGAATAACTTTCTTCCAGGTAAGCTTTGTCTCCAACATGAGGACCTGGCTAAAAAGTGTATCCCAGCTCTCGCCCGAGAACTGGAGGTCAGCGATGACATGGCCATCCGCAACAATGTCATTATCGTTATATGTGACCTGTGTGCGTCCGATACACAACCATGGTGGACAGATACATCCCCAATGTGTCTGTGTGTCTTAGAGACCAAGATCCATTCATTCGGAGGCAAACGCTCATCATGCTTACCAACCTACTCCAGGTGAGTAATCCTGTGGGTTCAATTACAACTCTGGCCAAAACTTTGTATACAGATTTTATACAACAATTGTAATCATCTGGTTTTATGCTGTATTAAATGCAGTGCTTACCTGAGTATTTTAATACTGCATGGATACAGTTCCTCCTAAAGGAGTTGGAAATGGATGACACTGTGTGGGGGATGCAAAGCATGACTAGTAGCTTACTGCTGTTAGAAAATCTGAGGTGGGGCCTGTCTTTGCTACCTGTAAATAACTCACAAGATAGGGGACAACAGTCAGTCTGTCAGTTGGGTCATGCAGATGTCTGTCATAGACCTCCCTCCATGGAGGCAAATCAGTCTACATCCATGGAAATCATTTTTTTTACTTTTATTGGATCGTTTCTCTTTCTTGTATATCACAGGACACAAGGAGTATTCAGAACATAGGGCTATGCTGCCACCTTCAGCATATTGGATACTGACACCGCAAACCAGCTGGGACAGCCGTGCATCACCCTTCGCACTCTCAGCATCCCTTCAGTTTGTTGCTAGTGTCGTTAACTGCTTAAGGACCGCCCTATAGCAGATATAATGCTACAGGGCAGCACCTGTGCGCAAAATCTGTATATGTATGTGTGTGTGTGTGTGTGTGTGTGTGTGTGTGTGTGTGTGTGTGTATATATATATATATATATGTGTGTGTATGTGGTTTTGCCCTACCCGCGCCGTCGTGGATGTCAATCACCGGGTCCCGGCTGGTAATTACCCACCAGCGCCTGGTGATTACTGAGCATCTCCGATGAGGAGGAAGATTATTTTGTTTACAAACAATCTTCCTCTCTGTCAGCTCGAGTACACTGCTCAGGGATGGCTGTGCACAGTACAGCCATCCTGATCAGTGTGCTTACAGTGAAGAACACACCCCTTGCCCCCCTAATAAAACACTCCCAGCCCACAGTTAACCCTTTGATCGCCCCTCACATTAACCTTCCTGCTCATTAGTACAATGTCCGTTCTTGTTTTGCTTTTTTTTTTTAGCACTGATCACTGGAGATGGTAGTGACACCAAGTTAGTCCCAAACCCCCCCCCCCCCCCCCCCGTGTCAGAATGTTCGCTGCAGTACTAAGACGCTGATCGCCGCCGTAACTCGTGTTACGAAGGTGAACTTATCTTTTAAGACACTAGCGCAAAACTAAGGCTTAGCCAAGCTGCCTAGGTGGGTGCTCCTTCCTTTTTTCTTTTGGCCAGTGTCCATTCACCAGAAGTTAGCACCATAACCCATGTAGTAATGACTATTAACTCCTCTGTGTCCTTTGATCCATTTTTGATACACAAAATGTTTTTTTACTTTATTTTTGTTTTTGTGTTTTGTTTTTTTTTGTTTTGTTTTTTTTAAATTCAGGATTCTTTTTTCTAGCAAGTTTCTTCATTTTGCAGTGTGGCTGGCCTATAAGTTTTTTCTTTGTGCACTGTACACTCGATACCATCAAGCTGCAGAGTGCTTTACGAGTCCAGGGCTGTGGTTGACTCTGTCCCTGAAGACTCCTGCGGCGAAATCTTTCTGGGGGGGTAGCTTTTTTTTTTTTTTTTTTTTCTCCTACCAGGGTTACTGTCAGCCTTCCAGACAACCCTCAAGAACCAGTTTAGGAGCCAGAACCTCCTGTGTCCATTCCTGGTTTAATTGGTGGTGCAACACGTTTGGGTGGTATGCCTGCCCTCTTCCTGAGATCATTTTGTCTCACACAAGTTCCAGGGTGTTATCTCCTTGCAGTGACTGGGTTGCAGACTAGCATTAAACCCTTCCTCCCTTTTTAGCTGTTTGTCGCCCCTTTGGGTACAATCTCACTTTAATTTTAAGCAGTATGGTGGATCATGGGCACAAGGGTAGTGGTCCCACAGGTCTTGCCAGCTTACAATCCGCTTTACAGCCCTGGAGTGGCTTGCAGTGTGCTTCTCATCGGATTAACACGAACAACCCTGACCTCTATTCCATGCTAGCTGCCACACTGTTCTCTGAGCCCACCTTGGATTCATCAGGCGTAGCACCTTCCTCTGGTTTTTCAAGGGAAGAATTCCCTGCAACTGTATCTCTGATTCTCAGGAAGGTTTCACTTGTGATAGCTGACTTGATACAGAGATGTTGCCAGTGTGCTTCTGCTCCAGAGTTCATCTCTGATTTCCCTGTAGCTTTGTCTGCTTCAGTACTGTCAACCAGGGGATAAGGGTACCCTGTCCCTTAGGGATGCATTGGTACCTGAACTTGGTATACATCCAAAACGTATGGATACTGTTTGGTCCTTGTGTCAATCACCCCAAAAAATGTTGGCCTATAAAAATTTTACTTGTGCGCTCATTTATGCAACCTGTGTTGCATGGTGATTGGCTTACTCCTGATAAGGGTGTTTACCTCTCTGAAACGCATATCCTTTTAGGGAGGATTTCCTCAGGAAATGCTGAGATCTACTATAGGGACGGTCCACTTCCTGCTAGGAACATCTCAGTGTTTAAAGATTCTGTGGTTAAATGCCTAGAAGCCCTTTCTAAGCCCGCCTTCGCCCCTGTTCTGCAGCCCCGCCTTCGCCCCTGTTCTGCAGCCCCGCCTTCGCCCCTGTTCTGCAGCCCCGCCTTCGCCCCTGTTCTGCAGCCCCGCCTTCGCCCCTGTTCTGCAGCCCCGCCTTCGCCCCTGTTCTGCAGCCCCGCCTTCGCCCCTGTTCTGCAGCCCCGCCTTCGCCCCTGTTCTGCAGCCCCGCCTTCGCCCCTGTTCTGCAGCCCCGCCTTCGCCCCTGTTCTGCAGCCCCGCCTTCGCCCCTGTTCTGCAGCCCCGCCTTCGCCCGTTCCACCCCGCCTTTACGACCATGCTCATCTACCAGGCCTAAGATGTATGGTCCAAGGAAATGTCTGAGAATTCTATATCCTAATGGATCCTTCAGTCCTCCAGCACCTGGAACTTTTGCCTGTGGCCCTGCTACACTGCATGGATAGGCTAGCAGATATTATGTTCCTAATATTCAGTGTGGGTCTCCTTCAATTTCTCATGCAGAGCACCTTGTGGCTGCAATGTTGTTGTGTTGAAGAGCATCAATTCAAGAACTGTTTGCTGCCTTTTGCCAAGGAACGCCTCTTCGGTGCATCTTACCAGGGCATCTCTAACAGGTTTGGAGCCTGTCCTTGTGTTACAAGGTTGGGTTGAGGCCTAGAGCCCTTTCCACCTTTATCCAAACACTGGTGTCTCTGCTCCAAAACTAGAAAATGATTTTACACGTAAGGTGGTGTTTTATTTATTTTTTCTGATTATAATATGTACATGACTCATTATCAATTAGAACAGTTAAAATGTTGCATGCTTCTCCTTTTTGTTTTTTTCTAAACTTGTCAATCTCTTAAAATCAACAGGAGGAGTTTATAAAGTGGAAGGGCTCCCTTTTCTTCCGCTTTATCAGCGTCTTGGTGGATCCGGACCCAGATATTGCCAAGTAAGTCTCTGTATGTTACAGGTTTTTTGTACACTGAAGCTCAACCGCATCAGCATACGAAGATGAAGTGCCGGCCAAATACTACCATGTAAGGAGGTAGAAATTAATTTTGGGTTAGAGTTTAGTGGCTTGACAAAGAGGCAAGGGAACACATGGAATGTGATTCCCCTCCCGAATTATAGCAGTAACTAGGGTTTAGGTTCAACTTAAAGGAACCATTGTCATTCTTTCTCTCAATGTCCTTTTGGAGAAGTAGTGGACTACAGGGTCCTCACCTTTTGTGAGGATAGAAGCCAAGCAAGAAACTGTTTGTTTATTTGTAAAGACCTTTAAACCTTTAACCACTTGCCTACAGGGCACATATACCCCCTTCCTGCCCAGGCCAATTTTCAGCGCTGTTGCACTTTGAATGACAATTGCGCGGTGATGCACTGTACCCATATGCATTTTTTAATCATTTTTTTCACACAAATAGAGCTTTCTTTTGGTGGTGTTTAATCGACACTGGGGGTTTTATTGTTTGTGCTATAAACAAAAAAAAAAAAACATTTATAAAATTTGCAAAAAGGTAATTTTTCACCTTCACTGATGTGCGTTGATGAGGCGGCACTGATGGGCACAGATAGGCGGCACTGATGATGCACTGACGGGCACAGGTGGGTGGCACTGCTGAGCACTGATCTTCAGTGCCCTGATGATCGGTGCGATCCGTCCTCTGACAATTGCTGGTTATATATAGGCAGTACTTTACTCACGCTATGACAGCGTGAGGAAAGTGCAGCTGATAACCGGCAACTGCATTTACTGGTGATCTGCTGTGTCATTGGGCACGGCTGATCTTGTGGTAAAAGGCTGCTGTGATTGGCCTTTTACCACATCACGTGATATGTAGGACACAGTGATCATGGAGATCGTCAGGTGCGCGCCCCCAGGGGTGTGCGGGAGTGCGTGTTCTGGGAGGACGTCATATGACGCCCTCCCGGAACTGGACAACTGTGCTGTAACCGTCATTCGGCTATAGCGCAGTTGGCAAAACGGTTAAAGAGTTTTAGCTTAGTGACCTGGGAGGTAAGCAGTATTATCACAAATTGAACATTTGGTTGTGTGGTTTTCATTTTATGGCACCTTACTCCAGTTATCTTTATCATTGCAGATTTGGTGAATTCTGTCTGGTCCATCTTCTGCTGAAGCGAAATCCTGTCATGTTCTCGCAGCATTTCATTGAGTGTATTTTCCATTTTAATTGCTATGAAAAACATGAGAAGTACAACAAGTTTTCACAGACAGAGAGGTGAGTGAACCTTGTCTCTACATTCCCCAAAACATTTCAATTTCTTTTCTAGTTCTTCTAAATCCTGTAATGTTGTCACAGGGAACGAAAACTGTTTTCACTCAAGGGAAAAGAGAACAAGGAGAAACGGACGAAGATCTACAAGTTTTTGCTTGAGCACTTTACTGATGAGCAAAGATTTAACCTGACCACAAAGATCAGCCAAAACGTTTTGGGTAAGTCTAGACCAGAATGAGATAACCTGCATTGTCGCACAATCAAGCTGAGGGTTCTGTGTATAAATAAGCGTTCTGATTGTTCACTCCTCGCTGTTGATTTAGTTGAGGACTGAATTGTCCAGTGCTTATCTGTTCCTGTCCTAATTTATGATGCTGGCCAGCTTCTGGAATGTGCGCACATAAAGAAACTCACACTGACACGTTTGGTCTTTAAAAACTCTCTAATTTATTGAAATGAACCTGTGAGTTTATATATGAAAAATGATGCGAACATCACGTGATAACAGCATAAGCATTATATTAGTCTTTGATTGGTCACTTTACACGAAAACAATCTCCGTCATGGTATAGGTGTGATCTTCTGTCTTATCTTATAGAAAGAAAAACATTCTTTTGTCTTCCAAATCACACGGTGGGAGGGGGTCTGTGTGTGTGAGCAGACATTTCTTAAGCAAGGATTTCTTATAGTACCACAAAGCCCAGCAGGCAGAAAATATTCACACAACATATGTATTAAAGTATAAAAATAAATATTTTATAAAACTTATAGAAATAGCGTATATATCTATATATTCAATAGGAAACAAAATAGGCATTTTACCAAATCCATCACACTATTAAATAGGGCTTTTCAGTTTGTTGAGCAGCGGTTTGTCTGGACTTTTGACTTTACTGTCCTAGGTGTGTCACTGTAAATTTTTTATTTTTTTTTTTTTTTTTTTTTTTTTTTTTTTTTGTAGCATGTTTTGTAGATGGCGTTTTACCCATTGACACAGGAGCAAACGATTTACTGTCCGACATCTTTGAGATCATGAGCTGCAAGGAGATAAAGCTGTCAGCGATGCGGTCCAAACCTGGAGAAGATGTTGGAGATGATGATGAGATGGCCATGGCTAATGCTGTGATGCAGGTCGCACAGAAAAAGCTAATCTCACAGGTACGGTTTATACATAAGCATAGGGGGATTGAAATCTAACTGATACAAATGTTTTGTTTTTTTTTTTTTTTCTTTTTTTCATCTTTTGACAAACTTATGAAATTCTAGTTTTAAACCTGCTGGTGACTTTACAGATGCATCTCAATAAATTAGAATATCATCAAAAAGTGAATTTATTTCAGTAGTTCAATACAAAAAGTGAAACTCTGATATTATATAGATTCATTACACACAGAGTAATATATTTCAAGCATTTTTTTTTTCCTTTTAATTTTAATGATTATGGATTTCAGCTAATGAAAACCCAAAATTCAGTATCTCAGAAAATTAGAATATTGTGACAAAGTTCAATACTGTAGATTCATAGGGGTTTATTTACTAAAACTGGTTCAATCAAAATCTCGTGCACTTTTGCATGGAAACCAATCAGCTTCCAGGTTTATTGCTAAACTGAACAAGCGGGGGTTAGAAATTGGCTCCAATGCTCAGGTGAACGAGATTCTGAGTCAACCAGCTTTAGTAAATAACCCCATAGTGTCACACTCTAATCGGCTAATTAACTCAAAACACCTGTAATGGTTTCCTGAGCCTTGAAATCATCTCTGTCTGGTTCAGTAGGTTACACAATCATGAGGAAGACTGCTGACTTGACAGTTGTCCAGAAGACAGTCATTGACACCCTCCACAAGGAGGGTAAAGCACAAAAGGTCATTGCTAAAGAAGCTGGCTGTTCACGTAGTGCTGTATCCAAGCATATTAATGGAAAATTGAATGGAAGGAAACTGTGGTAGAAAAAGCTGCACAAGCAACAGGGATAACCACAGCCTTGAGAGGACTGTGAAGCAAATGCCATTCAAGAATTTGGGGGAGATTCACAAGGAGTGGACTATGGCTGGTGTCAGTGCTTCAAGAGCCACCACACACAGACGTATCCAGACATGGGCTACAACTGTCACATTCCTTGTGCTAGCCACTCCTGAACCAGAGACAACAGAAGCGTTTTACCTGGTCTATGGAGAAAAAGGACCGGATTGTTGATTGGTGGTCAAAGTCCTATTTTCAGATGAAAGTAAATTTAGCATTTCATTTGGAAATCAAGGTCCCAGAGTCTGGAGGAATAGTGGAGAGGCACAGAATCCAAGTTGCATGATGTCCAGTGTGAAGTTTCCACAGTCAGTGATGATTTTGGGAGCCATGTCATTGCTGTTGTTGGTCCACTGTGTGTTATCAAGTCCAAAGTCAGCGCATCCCTCTACCAGGAAATTCTAGAGCTCTTGATGCTTCCCTCTGCTGACCAGCTTTATGGAGATGCTGATTTCAATTTCCACGTCCACCAACGTCTCGTGGCAGTAGAGGAGCACCTAATCCCCCAGAGCTCCCCCTGGTGACCACTGTACCACACTGAAGAGGCTGCACCCGTGTCCTTAAAGGGGACCTCCGGTTTATTATATCTTGATGACATCTGCTTATCCTGTGTCGATCCTGTTCCTATGCTGAGAGGGACCCATTGGCAGACCTCCACTATACCATACACCGTGCATTACCATTGTGCGTCCGGTGAGTGCGCATTTTACCCATCACCTTGCCTCTCACCTATCTCTTTGAGGAAACGTGAAGTCACATTGAGCTCCATTGTTAGAACTTTTTTCATGCATATATGAGTTATACTGATTCAATTAAGAACTCTTCATATCTTTGTGTTTAGCGCTGCACTTACCCTGATTATGTGTTATTTCGAAGGTTTTATGGTTCCCTTTTACTGTGCATTGTCGCTTATTTGTATTGAGCGCTCGCTGAGTTTTTCTTTTTCTATATAAACATTTTCAAATGTATGCGAACTAAACCCTGCTGTGTGCTCCTCGCTGCAAAGGCCAGTTATAGATTGGGGTGGTTGCCATTTGTATGTGCCAATTTGTTTGTACAGAAGTGGTTATCCTGGCCTGGTCCTTTGTGGTTATGAATTTCCTGCCTCCTCAATAGACTCTAAGAAAAGGATTTCGTGAGAGTCCAAAAATACTTTTCCAGTTGTGTAAATATGAAAACAGGATAGCTAGTATTTCATATGTATCACTTTAACCAAGTGAGTAACATTGTAAGGGAAGATGATTCCTGGATGTGCACAACAGCTGAATCAGCCCTGAAGAGCAGAAGGAATCCGTTCCCATAGACTGCTGAATAGCCATGTTGGCACCTACTCTCCTCCAGCTGCCACGGAACGGCCCAGTCATACACAGGCTGTCAACAAGCTAGCAAACAATTATGTACTTGACTTTTAAAAAACCATACTTTGCAATCTGTGTGCAATGGGTGCATACTGTATAAATTACAGGTAAAAAAAATTTCAGATTTATTTTTGAATGATGTGAGCTTGAGAAACATAAAAAAACTGGCTTACTTTCCATTTCACTCTTAATACATCTGATTGCCTTAATCCAATATATCATAAATGCCTTTGAAGAATCTCTGGAATAATTGCTTTCCAATTTTGGCCTTCCACAGGTTCAGAAGAAGAACTTCATAGAAAACATCATCCCCATTATCTCCTCTCTGAAGGGGCTTCTGGAGCAGCAGCGCATCCCTGCAGTGAGGGACCTCATGAACTGCCTTCGGGTAAGTGGCTGTTCAGAAGACTGGCAGACGGAGGTTGTGCAGAGGTACAGAATTTATAGCCAGGGTTTGTGTTCCCTCCACAGGAAATGATGCAGGACTACCGTGACGAGGTTAAAGATTTCTTTGCTGCCGACAAGCAGCTGGCTGCAGAGATCGAATATGACATGAAGAGGTATGAGGAGCAGTTGGAGTGGGAGAAGAATGAGAATGAGCTGGCTGATGGTGTGGCCAACGTTGTGATCGTCCGAAGCCCACAGGTAAGCACACAGATTGGTTTCTGGAAAAGGGAACATAAACTTGGAACATCCTGAAAGGTATTTTTAAAGAATTATACTTAGTGAAAACTGATGTCTATTGTAAAATGTAAAGTGATTGTTTTTGCATCCTCTGCAAAACGTAGGTTTCCATTGCATACATTTACTAATTATATGTAAAAGCCCTCTAGGCGCCACCTTTTAATGTTCATTCCTACTCAAATCGGTGGGAGCACTATTGGTAGGATGTCAACTACACTATATTGACAAAAGTATTGGTCGGCCTGCCTTTACACGCACATGATCTTTAATGGCCCCCCCGTCTTAGTCCGTAGGGTTCAATATTGAGTTGGCCCCGCCCTCTTCTGGGAAGGCTGTGCACAAGGTTTAGGAGGGGGTCTATGGGAAGGTTGGACCATTCTTCCAGAAGCACATTTGTGAGGTCAGGCACTGATGTCAGACGAGAAGGCCTGGCTCGTAGTCTCCGCTCTAATTCATCTCAAAGGTGTTCTATGGGGTTGAGGTCAGGACTCTGTGCAGGCCAGTCGAGTTCCTCCACCCCAAACTGGCTCCTCCATGTCTTTATGGACCTTGCTTTGTACACTGGTGAGCAGTCATGTTGGAATAGCAAGGGACCATCCCCAAACTCTTCCCACAAAGTTAGGAGCATGAAATTGTCCAAAATGTCTTGGTATGCTGGTGCCTTAAGAGTTCCCTTCACTGGAACTAGGGGGCCAAGCCCAACCCCTGAAAAACAACCCCACACCATAATCTCCCCTCCACCAAACTTTACACTTGGCACAATGCAGTCAGGCAAGTACCGTTCTCCTGGCAACCACCAAACCCAAACACGTCCATCGGATTGCCAGACAGAGAAGTGTGATTTGTCACTCCAGAGAACACGTCTCCACTGCTCAAGATTCCCAGTGGCAGCGCGCTTTACACCACGGCATCCGCCGCTTTGCATTGCACTTGGTGAAGTAAGGCTTGGATGCAGCTGCTCGGTCATGAAAACCCATTCCATGAAGGTCTCTACGCACTTGATGTGGCCTTCAGATTAGCACAACAGTTTGGAGGTCTTTAGCTATTGACTCTGCAGACAGTTGATGACTTCTGCGCACTGTGCACTTCAGCATGCGCTGACCCCGCTCTGTGACGTGGCCTACCACTTGGTGGCTGAGTTGCTGTTGTTCCCAGTTGCTTCCACTTTGTTATAATCCCACTAACAGTTGACCGTGGAATATTTAGTAGCCAGGAAATGTCACGGATGGATTTTATTGCACAGGTGACAACCTATCACGGGACCACGCTTGGAGTCACTGAGCTCCTGAGAGCGACCCATTCTTTCACAAACATTAGTAGAAGCAGTCTGCATGCCTAGGTGCTTGATTTTTTTTTTTTTACACTTGTGGCCATGAAGGGGATTGGTACACCTGAATCCAGTGATTTGGAGGGTGTCCCAATGCTTTTGGCAATATAGTGTACATCCAGAACAGGTTTCCCTCTTCCTTGTGGTGCATGCACATAAAATATCAAGAACTCTGAAAGGCAGCAAAAAGAGGTATCAACCTGATCAGTGTAAAACAAGAATTGGTGGTGAACAATGGCAAATGCAATGCACTTGGACATACTTGGTGCCTGTGTGCAGGTTTGGTTTGTTTTGCTTTCCGTTATTTTGAAAAGGATGCATTGTATAAAGTGAGAATAGGCCAGGTCCTGTTGCAGCAAAGATACCTGTTGAATACAAAATTGGCCAAAATCAAGATGAAAAACAACTGTTTTGACCCTTGTTTCTAAATGATCTTATTCATCACCTGCCATTTTGCTTTGTTTTTAGGTCTCTGCTCCTGCTGGATCTCCCAGAACGCCAAATGTTCGCCGGTCTCCTCTCTCTGTCATACAAGAGGTCCCAGGTGCAGGTTCACCTAATACGCCTATAGGAACACCCCGTATTGCCATTATGGCTGGACAGATGGCCCGTCCCAGGTAAAGAGGATAGTTCCTTTTAATTGTCATGACTGATCAAGGTTAGTTGGTTCCAAAATGTTTTTTTTTGTCCCACAGGCAGATGTCTCTGAGCACTCAGGCTATCCTTAATTCTGCCAAAAAACTAGCAGAAGGGTATGCTAAGCCAAGGAGCAAGAGCATAGGAGCGCAGCCTTCTTCACCTTCATCAATCAGTGCAAACAGTAAGCTGGGTATGTAACTGATCATTACAGTGTACATCATCCCCAACTGTCAAGATGTAGTAACAGTTTCCAGTTTTTTACCCAGTAAATATAGAAGTTTAGGCGATTTTTGTTAACTTGGTCTAAGTAAAGATTTCTTAAATAATTGACGATCCTGATAGTTTCTTCTGACTTAGAAGGCTTCTTGTGATAGGATAACACTACCAAAGGTCTCCTTCCCATGTATGTTGTAAATTTCTTTCTGTCCTGTCTTTTCAATACTTTTAAATTCTCTATACAGTTTCCTTCCGTGTTTCAGACCAGCAATCCAGTGGGATCCTGGAGGGTAGAGCGATCAGCACACCAGACAGTAAGTACCCAGTTTCATCCGGATTTAGCTAGCAGATGGTTGTTTGGATCCTGCCATCTAATAAAGTGGTTCTAAAGGCAGACGGGTTTTACCTTAACCACTTCCAGTCCGGACACTTTCCCCCCTTCCTGTCCAGGCCAATTTTCAGCTTTCAGTTCTGTCACATTTTGAATGACAATTGTGCGGTCATGCAACACTGTACCCATATTAATTTTTTAGCATTTTTTTTTTTTAGACTGATGAAGCTTTATTTTGGTGGTATTTATTCACCACTGGGATTTTTTTTTTTTTTTTTTTGCTATGTAAATGAAAGTCCAAAATTTTGAAAAGTGTTTTTCTTATAACATTTTGCAAATAAATATTTAATTGTAAATCTTGGCCAAAATTTATTCTGTTTATCTTTAGTAAAAAAAAACAAAAACCCAAATTTAGTTTAAAACCAAAAATTATAATTTTTAAACTTTTTTTTTTTTTTTTTTTTATATATATTATTATTATTATTTTTTTTTTTTTTTTTACATACTGTCACCCTAGCAGTATAGTGTCACCATGGTACTACTTGAGGGGGGTGATGAAGATTTTTTTTTTTTTACACTTGATTGCTTTTACAACGATAAAGGCTGTAAAAGCAATCATTTCTCCTCTCTGGCTGCATTCTTGCAGCCATTGGAAAATACTGTGTGAGCTGTGATTGGTCACAGCTTGTCACATGGTACAAGGCTGTTGTGAATAGCCTTGTACCATGTGACCTCTGTGATCATTCACAGATTTCACACATAGTAAGCGATGTCAAAAGTGATATCTTGCTTACTACTCTGCATGTGATCACTGATTGGCCAATCAGTGATCACATGATCGGGACCTCGCATAGAGGTCCTGTAAGATCTTGATCTTGATCCTGCGTTTTGCACAATAGCAGCTTCTCTCTCTCCTCATTAGACAGAGAGGCAGCAATGGATGCTATTTGTTCCTGTCAGTCACAGCCAGTGAGGTGGGAGGGGAGTAGGCCGAGCTATCAGTTTACAACTTTGAGAGGAATACTGAAATTCATAACCTGATATTTTGGAGGCAGAGCAATGTTTATTCCTTAATCAGGATACAGGCTTGCCTTGATTAACATAATTTTTGGTTTACGAATGAAAATCCATTGAAAATAATGCCTCAGTTTACAAATTTTTTTTTGCAAAATGAAGCAAGTTTCCCCAGGATAAATTGCGCCTGGGAGGTTTACAGCGCCGGCCCTGTGCAAGCTGGAATCTGTGGGTAGCACGTGGTGTCGAGTGGGGAGGTGTTGGAGCGGTTTTTGCATTGAGTTTTGGAGCCATTCTGCAAATATTTTTAACATGTCTCTGTACAGTATTTATATCTTTAAAGTGCACTTCATAAAGAGTTTTAAACAGAACTTTTTTTTTTTTACTTTTTTCTGACCTTCGGAATGGATTGGTTTTCAATGCATTCCTATAGGAAACCACATTTTGGTTTACAAATTTTTCGCAATACGAAACGCCCTGGAGAACGCATTAAATTCGTAAACCGAGGTTCTCCTGTAGATTAGGGATTCCATTGACATCATATGCCATTCAATGTGTCTTGTATGTTTCTCATCAAACATTTCATACTGTGTTCAAAAGATGTACAAACATGATTTACATCTGGAGTACAGCCGTAGACCACCCAGTCCGGCCCAAGTTAGGTGTGTCAGGTGGCAGTCATACCCGTGGTTTCCAGAGGTGTCTGATCATAGATGAGGGATTTTTTTCATCTGGTTACTATTGTTTCTCGAGAACTGAGCTATACCTGGGGTGCCGATGTTTTCTACCCATTACGTAGACATGCAGCTTTGGACTATGTCAGCATGAAAAATGAGAGCAGCCCTGGAGAGTTTGTTTCTTAGTTGTTTATGGCTGCAGTTTTACCTACAATCTCATCTATTTGGTTAGCTTCTCACTAGGATGGTACTGATTCCGGAGTCAATATTAAGCATTTGCGGGATTACTTGTACTTATGCAAATGCTCCAGTACCTCAACCAATACCTTTATGCTGTGATTTGAGCCCATACAAAATGAATGGGCTCAAATCGCACTGTAAAGAATCGCATGCAGTTTTCCCCACCCCTTCTGTGTGAACCCAGGCTTGTCGTGACTTCAGTCCTGGGTTCACACAGGAGCGGTGCAGGAAACTGCATGCGATTCTGACAGGACTAAAACCTGTTCAAATTGCATGCAATTATTTGAAGTGCAATTTGAGTCCATTCATTTTGTATGGGCTCAAATTGCACAGCAAAGGTATCGGTACTTGGTATCGGCAAGTACTTGATCATGAGTATTAGTACTCACCAATTTAAAAAACCATATCTGTGCAACCTTTCTGCTCACGT